ATGGGCTAGCTACCAGGAGAATCACTGCCTCCTCACGGATCTGGGGGGGGGGGAGTGAGGGGTGGGCTGGGGGCTGTGAGTCAGGCAGAGCTCTGATGGCAGCGGGCCCAGTTCCTGGTTCAGGACTGGGTGAGGCGTTGGCTGATGGGGTGAGGTGGGCTGTGGCTTGGGGGGAGGGGGGCAGCTGAGGAGCCTGTTTTCCCAGCTGCAGTCAGGCTGGGAGGAGCATCCGGGCTGGGCTGGGCACTGGGTCACCCCGCACGCACACTCGCGCGCAGCTCTCTATCTCCCTCCCTCCCCACTTGGGTGGTCCCCTCATGGCCTTGGGCCTGTCTGCTGGTGAGGGCAGAGGACTCCAGGGGCTATAGTAGGAAACAGGGAGAAACCATGGGGTCCAGATGGGCCAGGGGCCACCACTCCTTGAGCTTTTTGGGGGTGACTCTGAGGTGCAGGGGCAAAATGTCAAGGCTACCAGCTTCTACCCACATTTGTCCAGACTCAGTCAATCCCAGACCCTATCGCCAGAGAGCAACTGTGGTTACCCCCTGGCCCCTGGTGACTGCAGGGGCCAGAGAGCCTGCTTGTGGGCTGACAGGGCCTCTCAGTCTTCCCCATCGGGGAAATGAGACCTGTAGTCAGCTTGGTGGGAGTTTTGGGGGCTAAAACACCTGCAAAGTGCTTAGCGCTGCCAGCTTGGGCTGTCCTTCTCACTGTTATTGTTAAAAATGTGCCCAGGCCTGAGTAGGCCCAGCTTAGTACCCCACACGTTTTAGGGGCTTGAGAAATGGCAGCAGCTGTCTTCAGTGTTATTACTGAGGTTGTGTTTTCCTGACACCCAGGAATGGCTGTGGAGGGAACTCCCAGCCCAGGGCCTTCTCCGCACCCAGGATGGGCAGATTTTGTGACAAGGGAAACTGAGGCCACTTGGTGTGCAGAAGAGGTGGGGAGAGAGATGGGGAGGCCACTGCTCCCTTCAGGCACACTAGTACAAACTGGGCAGTCGCACACCCATAAGTGCTCTCTGGAAAAACCATTAAGATGAGATCTGTGCTCAGAAAGGCCTTGGCGTAGCAGTTTGCCTGGCCCCTGGCTCCTAGAAGCTCACAGGTGGTCTTTGGTGGGGGGTGGGCTGCTGCCACTTTCCAAAGGGGAGGGGGAGAGAGATGGCCAGATAAGGGACAAGTCAGCCCCAGGAACTGGGGAAGTAATGGTGGATACAAATGAAAATGCATCATCCCTTTTGCAGTCCATTTGCTTAGCAGGAGAGGAGGGCAGACACAGGGAGAGATGGGAAGGAATGAGATGCAGAGAGAGAATGTGGCAGCAAGGGGTTGGGGCCTGTGGCCGTGGAGCCTGAGCTTGACCTAGCTTGGGAATACCTGCTGCTTGCCTGGGCTGGGGCCCGTCCTACCTGCAGAGCTGGGCAGTTCCACACCTGAGTCCTCCCCTGATCTCCAGCCACCCCCACTGGCTTCCCCTGACCTACTGCTTGAGTATTTTGAGGCCTTAAGCTACCACCTGCCCTTGGTCCTCCCTGTAGTGGGGGGCTGGGGGTTCTGGAGCCCTGAAGGCCATCTAGGGTGGGTTCCAGGTACTAGCCCAGCCTGCCAGTCCTGCTGAGCTGACCCTGTCGCCTCGGGCCCAGACAGAGGGCAGCTCCTCCCCCACGCACACAGAGCTGGCTGAGCTGACTTGACTACCTCACTGGTGCAGATCCACCCTCTCCCCATAGGGAGGGGAAGGAGGGGGAAGCCTCCAGATGCTGTCAACTCTTCCAAAGGGGACAGCCAGAGATCCAGACCTCTACTCCAGAGGACATGGAGGTGGCTCACGTACACGTGTGCCCGGCCCCGTGCCGCAGGCGCTGGGCTTGGAGCCCTGGGAGACCTTTCAGGACCCCCGCATTTGGGGGAAAGGAGCTGTGCAGACAGAATGCTGGGCCAGGGCTGCCCCCAGTTGCTCTCGTGGCCCCCCTTTTGGGAGGACAGGACCCTGACCAGGTGTCCCCAGCTCCTCCTCCATACAGAGAAACCCCAGGTCCCAGGGGACATGCCCTCTTCCTCAGAAACAGCTCCCAGAGGCTGAGTCCTACACAGCCACCCCTGGAGAACTGGGGTCACTGTCCCTCCTGTTTCTTCCCACCCACGCTAATAGAAAAATACACCCCTCTCAGCCTTGGAGATGGCCAGGTGGGAGAAAGACCTGACTTTGTGCCAGGGGCTTCCTAAGGGGTTGTGTGTAAGGCAAGGAAGTGGGGCTCAGAGCGAAAGAATGTGCCCAGGCCATGTGGCCAGCAGTGGCCCGGCTGGGATTTGAACTGGCTTCTTTATACTGTAGCCCTTTGGCTATGCCGCCCTGGACCACAGCTTCCAGGCAGCGAGGGCTGTGCGACAAGGCTATTTTTTGTATTTATTTCTGACACCCACCCAGTTGCCCATCTCTGCAGGCCCCGGACAGACCCCCATCTCGGTTTTCCCCAGAACAAAGCTGTCTCTATTAGACATGCCAAAGCAGAGGCTCCAATGAGAGCAGGTGAAAGGGAACTCCATCTCGCCTTTTGTTATTCAGGGAGGAAGTGAAGGGAACGGATTTGCCCTTGAACAGGGAGGCAGGGAGGTAGAGTGGGAACTTGCCAGGAGAGGGCAGGGGCAGACATACCTGAGATGAGGCACCCCACCCCCATTAGAACATCAAGAGCGTGGTCACCATTTTACTATTCAGCACACACATGCACTCACACACGGACACACTCACACATGTCACTCCTTTCTCCCCTCTCCCCTCTGAGGTCCCCTCTGAACCAGGAAGGTAGCATCTGACCAGCAGAGAAAAAAAGAAAGAAAAGGAAAGAGAAAAAGCGATTAGCGGGAAGAAAATCCGATTCTGGAGTTACCTTAGTTACTAGCTCGGCCACCTTACACAGGAGGACCCTCCCTCCTGGGCCCCTCCATCACCCCATTAATAAGACAGGGCCCTTGTTCTTGAGGTCTGCTGCAGAAAGGGAAGAATCAAGGACTTTTCAATAAGAGAGAACTCCCTGGGTGGTTTTGAATAGTTGCTTTCTGTGTGGCAGTGAGGGACTCCATCCGTCCTCTCCTTGCGCTCTGCCCTGCCCACCTCCCTCGCTGCTCTCTGCAGCCGCCTGCTCCTGGGTCTCCAGATGGATGAGCATGTTTCTCTGGAGTCCAATCCTTTATTGTTCTGCCTTTCCCTCCTGACACCCTCAGCTCAGCAGAGGCCACGGGCAGCCTTTGCATCTCAAGAAAGCAAGAGGATCCCTGAGGTAATTCTAAAAAGGCTTAAACCAGGGAGTGGGGGAAACAAAGGCACACTCGCTGCATCCGGGGTGCTGTGCCTGCCACCCTGGCCAAGTCATGGCCATTGCTGTGCCAGTGGGAGGGGCATGAAAGGAGGAAAAAGGCTGGCCAAGGGGAGATGATGTTGGAAAAAGGGGGAAACAAGCAAATCTGTTTTATCAGACACTGCATATTTTAGGAAAGCACATTTCAGCTCTTCTGGCTTTTGGCAAGCTGGTCCTATCTTTTAGTTTTCTAATAAAAAGGAATTACATTTGCTGAAAAGGCAGTAACCAGCTTCATGTCACTGTCTCTTGTGGAGACCATAATTCCCATCCTGGGTGCCTGCCGGCTCAGGCCTGGGAGCTAGTCTCCTGTGACCACAGGTGACACTGGATGGGGCAAAGGAGCAGGGATGTTGGGGCACACAGCAGATGCTGCCTGGCTTTGCCCTAGGCTGTCCGCACAGCCCTGCCTCAAGCCATGGTCCCAGGCTTACTACCCAGGCCACGAGACTCACAGTAGACACTTAATAAATATTTGTGGCATGAATGAAGGAATGAATTCTTACTGCTGAGACCTGGGGTAACTGGAGGCTGATTACAGAGTGGTGGTGGGTGGGGGGGAGAGAATCTTTTTTTTTTAAAGATTTTATTGGGGAATTGAGGAAGGGGAACAGTGTTGGGGAATTGGGGAAGGGGAACAGCCAAGTTGTTGTCCTTCAGTCTTAGTTGTGGAGGGCGCAACTCCAAGTCCAGTCGACATCTGGCCACCCGTCGGCAGCTCGCAGCCGCTCAGCTCAAGGTGCTGTGTTCAATCTTAGTTGCAGGTAGGTGTAGCCCACCATCCCATGCGGGAGTCCAACCGGAAACCTTGTTGCTTAAAGTGCACACTCCAACCACTGAGCCATCCAGCTGCCCGTAGGCAGCTCAGGGCAGCTCAGCTCGGGCGCAGCTCACTGGCCCATGTGGGAATCGAACCGGCAACCCTGTTGCTCAGAGCTCGTGCTCTTAACCAACTGAGCCACTCAGCTGACCCCAGGAGGTTGGGATCTTTGTTGAATGAATGAGTGCATAAATGTATGTGTGCCTGCTCCCCAGAGTCTGATGTCGCCTATCTGGAAGGACTTACCAACCCTGCACCCCCGAGCCCCTGGCACTGAATTCACTGGAAACTTTGCCAAAAATCATATCCTTACAAAACAACAACACAAACATGTGTTCGTTGTTTTTAAAAAGAGGGAGAGAAAACAGAAGTGTGAAGCCGGAAGTTTCCATCCCCACAGCTCCATTCCTAAGACCCTCAGAGTCAGGAGGGACCCCATCCTTTAGATCTTCCCCCTGTCATGGGGAATTCTGTGTGTTTCTCGTCAGCTTTGGGACTTTATTCCATAGGATCTTTCCACACACACTTCTGCAACTCCACGGAGCTCCTCAGCCATCCTCCTGCCCACTGTCCAACCCAGGACACAGGAAGCTTGCAGTAAGTTCTTATGTAAGTGCCCTGTCTCTGCAGGGTGGACACGTGGACAGCTTTTTTGCTGTTACAAATACCTTCATTCCAGTCCCAGTTTTAAAGAAGCTCATGTAGGCAGAACACTTAATACAGACAGGCACTTAATAAATGGCAGTCTTTGTGATTTGGTAGGAAACCTGTACTCAGTTTCATGCCTCGAATGTTTCTTGTACCCTTTCTGTGTGCCAGGCTCCCCAGGCCCAGGGATCCCATGGTTCCAGAGGAGTGAGGAGACCCCTGAGCAGCAGCATCCAGGAGCCCAGCTGCCTACCCCCTGCAACTCATCACTGTTGGCACCCAGGTACCATCAGACTAGTGTATGCCACTAGAAATGCCAGGGCATGTGAGGTGGCAGATCTCACACACAGCACTCTCCCTGGAGCTGCCTCCTGACCCGTGTGGAGGCAGCCCCTTTCCCCTGCTTTACATCCAGCCCCCAGGCGCCAGGCATCAGCTGGTCAGGCATCAGGGAGGGCACACAGAAATGCCCAGCTCACCACTCCTATCCTTGGACCTGCTTCAATCATAGTCCCAGGGGTGGCCCAGGAGTCGGAATTATAACAAGTCCTGGGTGCCGCCAGGACTGGGGACCAGCATGAGGCATGGCGGGATCAGGGACATCTTTTAGGCTGGCCAGGGCCCAGTCCTCCACAGCCCCTGGCTGGAGGGGAGATGGAAGCGGGAAGGGCGAAGGGACCAGTAGAGGTGTTGCTTCCCAAGATTCTGATTTGGGCAGTGAGACCAGGCACCCATGTCCCCTGCATAGTTCTTTACACATAGTAGATGCTTAAGAAACATGAGTGAGTGTGTGGTGGCATTTGTATATATGCTGACTTCAGGGTCCCTGTGGGACTGTCAGGATCAACCCCACTTTCTGACACCCAGCTTTGCTGGAGGAGACCCAGCAGCCATCTGGGGTAGCATGGAGTTCGGGTTCCCCCAGGTTCCAATGCTAGCCCATCTGCCCTGTGCTCAGCCTCCATTGGCTGTTCTGTAAAGTGGGCCAAACAGTCCCAGCACATCTGGGTGGCCGTGAGGGTTTAGCAGCCAGGGAGGCAAGGCCCCTGCACAGAACAGGGCCCATCATAGGCTATTTCCCCTGGGCCACTAGGCAGCCTTGGGGTGGTTTTCATTCAAAGTCATTTTTTAATTATAAAAGGAAAGAAATGATGGTTGTAAATAGAAAAGGGAAAAATGGAGGTACAAAAAATAATAGATCAAAGCCCTTCTCCAGGCTTCCCTGGAGGTCATTGCTTTTTCTAGTTTAATGTGGGCTGTTGGGTTCTCGTTCTGGTGCATGTGTGTGTGCTTACACACACTTAAATCTTCATTGAGCACCTGCTGTGTGTGGAGGCCTGAGGATTTACAGATGACTCAGCTTGGGCTTTGCCTTTAGGGGGCGCTCTCAGACCTGTTGAGGAAACTGGTAAACTGATAAGCCTTTGATGCAGCGGTTCTCAACCTTCCTAATGCTGAACCCTTAATACAGTTCCTTGTGTTGTGGTGACCCCCAGCCATAAAATTATTTTCGTTTCTACTCTATAACTGTAATTTTGCTACTGTTATGAATTGTAATGTAAGTATCTTTTTGTTTTACTATGGTCTTAGGCGACCCCTGTGAAAGGGTCCTTCGACCCCCAAAGGGGTCACGACCCACAGGTTGAGAAACGCTGCTTTGATGGGTAGCTGGCTATGAGGTGATGAGGCAAGAGGGGTGCACAAAGGAAGGGGATAACTGTGGATGGGAAATCCACAGGGTGGGTAGGGAATCAGGAAGGGCTTGAACTGGACCTGTACAGACGCTTGGAAGTTTTTAGGTAGAGAAAATGAGAAGGAAGCATGAAAAAGCATTTATTTGAGGGAAGGGAACACACAGGTTTAGGGGGTCCCTTGCCGGACTGCCAAGTCAGCCCCTCTCCATGTGAAGTCCCCCGTGGGAGCTTGGTGGTGGTGGTGTGGTGTGTGTTGGAGGGGCAGGCTGGAGGAGGCACAGGCCCTTGGAGGCCTGATGCAGAGATAATGTTTTATTCAGTAAGTGATGGGAGCCACTGTGATTGGTTTTAAGCAGGCAGTGACCTGGTCCGGTGTGTGTTTGAAAACTATCTCTCTAGCAGAGCTTTCAGGAAGGTGAGGGGGTCAGGGGGTCAGAGAGGCTGGAAGCAGCGCTGGGGGTCTGGATGTGGCTGGAGGGGCATAGCGAGCTCTGTGATGGGGGTGGGAGCGCTGTGCCCGCGGTGACTGGGTACAGGCAGGAGAGGGGGGAGTCAGGGTCGGGACTGTGCGAAACTCCTGACTTGGCGGTCTGATGCGGGAGGCCCTGCCTGAGCTTGGGCTTGGGAGCCCCTGCCCATCAGGCCCCCATTTCCCCCTCCAGGGCAGAATGCTCTCCACCCGCATCTGTGAGCCCCGCGCCACAAACAGCAGCAGAGGGGAGGAAGGCTTTGTGCTTCCCAAGTCTTCTTCCATGGAAGAGGGTGATGACCAAGCCGGCAGATGCCCTACTGGTGCCACTGCCCCCACCCGCCACCCTCTTAACGCTCAGCTGCTCCCCAAAAAGAAAGACCTTGTCACAAAGGGAGGGAGGAAGGGAGAGGACGCGCTTCCTCGTTGCAGCCCATCTGGGAGCCATGTTATTTTCTGATTCAAGGAAAAATGTGTTGAGGCCAGGCAGCAGACCTAGGAGGAGGGGACCCACTGGGCAGTCCCTGGCGCTGGGCAGGAGGCTGGAGAACGCAGACTGAGCCTGGAGCCCCTGTCCTAAGCAGTTTAAGACTAGCCACCAACGTTCTCTGCTTGATTTGCACCTACCCACTACCTCCTGGCCTGCCTGTGGACTCCTGGTCAGGTGCTCCGGCCTTCTCGTAAGATGCCTGTGGCTGTCACTGCCCCTCCACCCCCTCCAAGTACAGGGCTCCAGAGTCAAAAACTGTAGCTCCCCCAGAATGCCATATGTGTTTATTGAGGGACTCCCTTCATTATTTTTCCCTCTCTCCCTCTTTCCCTCCCTCCCTCTCTTTCTCTCTCTTTCTCTCCCTCTCTCCCCCACCTCTAACACACACACACACACGCACGCACGCACGCCAAGCCATGTTTTTGAAAGATATGGTTGCCAAACTGCGTTTATTACATAATGGTTAATTTATAGCCCGTATTTTTTATTAATCGAAGACATCCATAACTGCCTATCTGAGCTTTGGAAGGGGGAGATAGCCAGTGGTGCCACAAGCTGACAGCCTTCCAGCCCAGAGTAGGGGCCCTGCTCGATTTGTGTCAGTATGGCCTTGTTTGGGTAAATGTACACTATCTCTGATGTTTCTAGAAGAAATAGAGACAGCTTGTGGACCCCTACACATCACCTTCCCAAGCCTTGGAGCCAACTGGGATAAACCCCCTCTCCAGCCATGCCTGAGCTCAGGCTGATCACTTGGCATGTGGCCACTGGCTGACGAGCAGCTTGGCAGAGGATAAAGGAGATGGAGTGGGCCTGTTCCCATCCCTGGAAGCTGCCATTAGTAGCAGCCTGGGAAGGGGCCTGGGAGCCGGAACTGAGGTCAGGACTGCTCTGGGCAGCGCTGAAGAGCAGCTGACAGGACCCTCCTGGCAAGCCGGGCCTGAGTACAGGGCTGAGCGTCGGATCCTGGGACATGTGAGACACTCGTCCTTTCGCCTCCCAGCGGCATGGCAGGCTTGTGTTTTTATCCCTTAGGACACACAAGGAGGCCAAGGTTGGACCTGTGCCATCTACCCTTCTACTTGCTCATTCGACACTGACCTTGCGGCCCGGCACCCACCAAGAGTTTGTTTCCCTGCCCTTAAGGTGTTCACGGTCTAGTGGGGATGGGGGCAGATGCTCAAACAGGTTATTGCTGTCCCAAGTGGTGTCATGCTATGGGTTGCCCAGGGAGCTAGGGACCAGTAAGAAGGCACCTAACCCAAACTGGAGGGTGTGGTCAGGGAAAGCTTCGGGAGGCGGTGATGTTACAAGAAGATTGGTTGATTTGGGGGGGGGGGGGGGGGGGGGGTTGTCCACTTTTTAAATGAATACTTCATGCCACATGCCATTAGGTGCTTTTCACATACGTTGTCGTGTTCAGTTTGCACCAACAACCCTGTGAGGCAGGGAAGAGCTTCCACATGGTCTCAATGAGTAAACTAAGGATCAGAAGGGAGATGTCCTAGCCAGATCGCTCAGCCAGGACTAGAACTCCCAAGTGGTTCTCAAAAGATGACAGAAAAGATGTAGGAAGATGGGAGGTGAGTTTGGCGTGCCTGGCAGAAGAAACAGTGAATACGAAAGCACAGCAGTGGCAGCAGCTGTGGCATGGAGGTCTGTAGCTCTGGGGTAAGCACAGGTGGGCGTGCATTATGGAGAACCTTGAATGCTGGCAGCAGAAAGCTAGGGAGCCATGGCAGGTATGTGAGTGGAGGGAGTGACGTGGTCCCACTGCAAGTCACTGGGGGTTCCAGCTCTTAGGCAAACCTCCCCTGCCGAGCACCCCCCTGCCTGCCCTTTTAGGTATCTGGCAGCAAGCATACCTCCTAGATCCGGTGTGTTTCTTCCTGCTCTTGACCTCAGGAGACAGCATCCAGATTGGCATTGAGCATCGGGAAATACCCAACACATCAGCGCCTGGAGGCCTTCCAGACTTCCCCCCAAATCCTGCAATGCCCATCTCAGCTATCCCTATCTGGAAAGAGGATGAATGGTGGCCAGCATCTGCCCATCAGCAGAGAGTTCCCACTCTTAGCACCAGCTCACTGAGCTGCCTCCAGGGACGGTCCTGCCCACCTCCCCAGAGAGCCAGTACTTCCGCTGCTGCCTAATAGCTCTCCTGGCTGGAGACATGGTTGATATTTAGTCTGTGTGGCAAGAGCCTTATTAGCAGCAGCCCTCCCTCCCTACTCCTGCCTCCTGAGCCCCAGAGACAGCCCTGCTCACCTCCTGAGCCAGTGTTACACACACACACACACATCACGCAGAGGCCTTTCTGCCCACTCTCAGTAATAGCGGAATGAACAAGCATCTAGGAGCACTTTGCATGTGGTATTTTCGCCTGAGATGTAGAGATGCCCCGTGAGAGAGAAATAGCATCGCCTCTGTTTTAAAGATGAGAAAACTGAGGCTCAGAAAGGAGATGTGAAGACAGACCATGTGACCTCATTTCCCCCCTCTTGGTTCCAGGAAATGGACCATATTCCCTCCCACTGCGGGACCTTTACTGCTGCTGGTCTCTCTGCCTAGAGCTCTCGTTCATCCCTTCTCTGTTCTCTCTTTTAGATCCCATCTCAGGGAGGTCTTCC